AGGAGTGAAAGATTGTTTTGGGAAAAATGTTTTCATGAGTCTAAAAATAATATAAAACCTGCTCTGCCACACTCTCAGCTGCGATAGCCCCAAAAGGCACTGGCTGTCATTGCACACAGTCACTATTGTGGTGGGATTTCTACCACACCACAGGACAGTCAATTTTTGGTTTCCTCCTGGAAATAACTACAGCAATTCTGGGTAACATGGTGAACATGAGCCTCTTTTAATGGCCCTTGAAACTGGACATGTGAAATGAGGTGCACAAAGCCTCGCCCCCCCATTTATAGACATTTCCTGAACAACAAAAAAGTAAAAATTAAAGGGCACCCCCCAGTTTTAATCAAAACCTTACATTCAGGACAAATACAAGGTCCACACAGGCTTCTAACATGGGGGAAAGGTTTTGCTTGTGTCTCTACAGGTGGAGAACTCAGAGGGGTCCCAGCAAAGAATGTGAAGCCCTACCACACACCGAAATCTGCTGACACCCCCACACCAGACAGTGCTTCTGCAAGTACGAGCCAAGAAGCCAGCACCCAAACCTGAACTGTGCAGAATTACCAGGAGAAAATGACCTGCCAGAAACAGCTTGAGAGAAAAATAGACTTTTATCATTTATATGCGTGCATGTTGCTTTTGTTCTTCTGTTTCAGTTTTTGCAGTGAAGTTTTACCTGTAATTCAATCAAAGACAAATGCCTGGGTTCCTCTAGCCAAGCCTGCAAGCTCTTGAGCCTTGCACCTTAGCTAAAGGAACTCTGTAAAAGAAGCTTGACTGTTCCAGTAGTAATAAGTATAGTTTTAGTAGCAATACCCTGTACACCTCCAAGTGTGCAGAAAATAGTTGTTAAGTCAATATTTAGTATTTCAAATGGTTCAGTGAAAACAGGGGAGATGTTGGGAAGGATAGATAAATATGATTGTCTAGCAGAAGAACCACAATAGTACAGCCAGGATGAATATCATGCCCCCACTGGCTGGACAATAACCTTACCTACAGCGGGGTCCAAAAGCAAATGGACTGTTCCATCTCACCCCCCAGAATGTATGGCTCACCCCACACCTGTAACCCTCCCCTGAACCATCAGGTGTCTGTGACCCCATTGGCCCAGGTCCTGTTCCAGCCCACCTTGGAGCCCCCCTTGATAAGGGGCCCCCAAAGGGCCAGACGCCCTCTTGGATCTTCCCCTCCCCTCTTGGAACTTCCTCCCTCCTCCTGGATTCCCCCTCCTTGAGTCCCTGCTCTTCCCTTTGTCTCTCCGCTCCCCCATCACCTCAGGCCTGGCCACGTGCTGTGTCCAGCAGCTCGAGGCAAGGCCTCTCTCCATCCCGAATAAACCTTATCCTCCAAGGGCAATCAGCAGAGATCTCTCGTCTGTATCCACCCAAACTGTCCTGGAACTTTCAAACGTCTTTACAGTCCTCCACATACCCCTAATAGTCCTAAAAAAGCCCTAAAATTTTTTAAATAGTCCTAAAAAGCCCCAAGAACACCCCAAAAAAAAGAAACCCTAAAAATTCTAATTAGTACTAAGAAAGCCCTTAAAATAACTTGAAAAAATCTTTCAAAAGCCCTGAAAAAGCCCAGAAGTATCCTAAACGTTCCTAGAAAGTTTCTAAAAAGCTCCTGTTAGAAAACCCCTCAAATATCATTTAAAAACACTAAAAAAAACCCTAAAAAAGTGCCCAGTCCCCAGCCTCTACCAGTCGCCCTCTAGCCAGCAAATATCATCCCTTCCTTTTAATTAGGGTCACTGCCTGCAGCTGCTGGGAGGGTTTTGGGGCTGTCCCAGCATTAGGGTCACTGCCTGCAGCTGCTGTTGGGGAAAAATGGTGTTCTAGGGGTGCTGTTTAGGGTGAGCTTAGGGTTGGGGTGAGGGCTGCTGCTGTACCCTAACCCTTCCCGGTACCCTGTGTCCTGTCCTTTGCACCCCTAACTCTCAGTGTCAGCTCTCCACCTGTCAAGTCCCCCCTCTTTGCCCCTCAGCCCGTAATGTCAGCGTGTCACCCCAAGGCCCCGACACTGTCCCTTGGCCCCCTAACCTCCACCGTGCACGCTGCACCCGGGGTGGTATTTAGGGTGCGGTTAAGGGTGGTGTGAGGGCAGGTTCACCTGTCACCCACAGGCACCCCCCACTTTGTCCCTCAAGGCACCCCCTGCCTCTCAGCCTCCTTGTGTCACCCTCAGGTACCCCACTGCAGCATCTCTGTGCCACCATGGAGCCCCCCTTTTTACTCCTAAAGACCCCTTCTGCCTGTCAGCAGCCCCCAACCTCTGTGTCACCCTCCAGCCCCCTCCCCTCAGCCCCAGGTCCCTTGGTGACACCGTGCAGCCCACAGACGTCGTCCCGGCCCGTTTCATTTCGGTGCTGTCCTGCTGCCAGGGCCGCACTATCCCCACGAGTTCGGGCTCCCATGTGGTGCTGCAGGGAGCCACAGGGGAGTGAGGGATGGGGCAGGATGGGGAGGGTGAAGGGTGGAGAGAGAGTGGGGCAGCGTGGGCTGGACGTGCAAATAGGGGTGAGGGATGGAGACAGGGACAGAGAAGAACAGGGCTGAGGGGAGGAGGTGAGAGAAGGAGGGGGCACCCCAGATCTCCCCGACCAAAGCTGCAGCAAAATACAATTCTGGTTGCCGGGGCAATGCCAAACACCTCCTGCAAACTGACATCAGGGACCTGGGCTGGCGAGTTTTCTTTCCCAGGGAAAAGGGACAGCGTTTGTGTTCAGGGGCCTGTGGCCTGGAGCGGGCAGCCGCCTGCAAAAAATCTGAATGGCAAAGGATGTGCCCCACACCCAAGCTCCCCATATCTCAAACCTATGCTGCCCTGACAGTCCCAAATGAACCCTACAAACTGACATCAGGAACCTGGGCTGGCGAGTTTTCTTTCCCAGGGAAAAGGGCCAGTGTTTGTGCTCAGGGGCCTGTGGCCCTGAGGGGGCGGCCACCTGCAAAAAATCCAAATGGCAAAGGATGTGCCCCTTAAAAAATCCACCAGAGAAATACCCATGTTCCCAAAAATAAAATTAATAAAAAATGACAACCAAACACATGAAACTACAAAAAAAAAAAAAACTAAGCAAAAAGCTTATACTAACAACAATAAAATAAGTATTCCTAACACAAGAAAGCCATAATGCCTCAAATCACCAAAACACAAATACCATCTAGAAATAAACACGTGGCCAAAAGATAAATGTAACCATAAACAATATCTCCAAAATTCTCTGCAAAAATAAAACATACATGGCAATCAAATAAGGCAAATGAATCAAACCCCTATAATATAATAAACAAAAATGCAATTATCAATATTAAAAGACCTCACTAATTAACTACAGGACTACTTCAAACCCACCTAAACAGACACTACATACTCCCGCTAATAAAAGCCACCACAACCAAATTAAAAACCTACCCTCTACTTCATGCTACGACCCATAAAAACCACTGTAAACTTTTAAAAGCACATCCTTTAAAAACATAAGAACCAATCAAAAAGAAATCCAACAACAACGCTCAATCCAAAAAAACCCTTGTCATCAGCACCTGGAGCAAGAACCGTAACAACCAAGAAGTACCCCATGGCCCTCCTCATACACCAACTACGAACAAAAGAAAATGATCCAAGAAATTCCTCAAAAGCCCCACAGCAAGGAACGCTGGAAAATGAGAAGCCGCGCTCCCGGCACCAGGGGCAGAAGAAGTGCCCCCAAATGCAGCAGCACAGCCCGGTTTCCACCCTTCCAGCGCTGCCACAGCTGCAGCTCCCTTCCTTTGAAGCGCCAAAAGTGACACCACACTCAGGCGCTCACCTCACTTCAACCAGGGCAAAGAAATGTGGGCTTCCCTTCAATTTCATCCCCTAGAAGAGCAGAAGAGAAGGAGCTTTCCTCAAATGATGGCAAAAGGGGGATTTTTGCCTCAATTCAAACCCTTTAAAAGGAGGGACAACAGGGCAGCCCCCTCCGTTTCAACCTCAGGATGATGAAAAGGGTGGGGAGCTACCCTCAAGTCAAACCCATCATACGACAACAATATTTTTCCCCTTCCATTTAAAAGGCAACACAGGGATTCTCTGTCTCCCCTGTGATATCCCTAACACCCTGGAAAAGGCAGGTTTTCCTTCAATCACTACCCTCAAAACCACAAGTGAAGGGGAATCCCCCACTAGTTCAGACACCGGTACCCTCAATTTGAATTTCTTTTGTCCTCAAAATCCTTTTTTTTTTTTTTCCTGGGGGCAACTGGGAGGGATTGGCAAGACGAAATTTAAAAGGGAAAGGAGAAAAGTCCCCACTACAAAGGCGCACCGGCTCACCTGTTTGGCTGCTGCTTCTCGGCACAAAAGTTTGTCCCTCGGCACCTCCTTTGAGCAATGCTCCACGTACACAAGTGCATATCCAGGTGATCCCCCGGACCCTGTCCAAAGCGCCCATCGTCCTTCCATGAGACAGCCCCGGGAGCTCCCCATAAACTCCCCTTCTCCAGCAGCAGCTCCATGCAAAAGCCAGCTGAAGCAAACCCTCTCCCTAAAACAACCTCCCCCGGCAGGAGCCGCCCCTCATCCTCACAGCTCACACCTGGGGCTGCTCTGAGCCCTCCTCATCCTCACAGCTCACACCTGGGGCTGCTCTGAGCCCTCCTCATCCTCACAGCTCACACCTGGGGCTGCTCTGAGCCCTCCTCATCCTCACAGCTCACACCTGGCGCTGCTCTGAGCCCTCCTCATCCTCACAGCTCACACCTGGGGCTGCTCTGAGCCCTCCTCATCCTCACAGCTCACACCTGGGGCTGCTCTGAGCCTTCCTCATCCTCACAGCTCACACCTGGGGCTGCTCTGAGCCCTCCTCATCCTCACACCTCACACCTGGTGCTGCTCTGAGCCCTCCTCATCCTCACAGCTCACACCTGGTGCTGTTGCCACTCTCCAACAGCGTCTCTCCCTCTCCAGCACACAGCCCACTTCTTACAGACACAGATCAAGCAGAAATCTACTACGGGTGTTGGTTTTTCTTAATCCATCTGGTTACACGGTTAAAACACATACATGCATTGATTGTCATTGAGAGAAAGCTTTCCCGTGGAGAAAATAGTCATTTTGGTAGCACACTTCGATACACCTTTGGAAAAAGCAGAATCAGCACCAACTCCTAAGACCCCTGCTGAGGAACCCTGCCCTCCTTGGGACACCCAAAGCGGCAGACCTCGAAAAAGGAGGGGGAAAGTCAAGCTTGGAGTGGAAAAAGAGAACATAAGTACAGCAGCCTTTAAAAGTGCCTGCACGGAGCAATAGTGGGAACCAGTCACATTTCTTCTTTCCTTGCTTTCTGTGATGACATAAATATGAAGTAAAAACACCTTAAACAAAAGGCAGAGCTAGGATTTTACAGGTCTTCATTTTGGCAGGCTGCATGACAGACGCCTCTTCCGGGACTGCGACGGAGAATGGCAGAGAACGGAGGCAAAAGGTGCCGGAGAGCCCTTCCTGTTCCCTTCAGCCCCTGCAGCTGCTCCGATGGTTTCAGGGCACTTGCTTGGTTCAGCACTAGTCAGAATTTCCTACATTCCTGGATACAAATGAATGGATAGAGAGAGGGCTTCTTTCCAAATGAATTTAGCCATAGATACCTATTCTTTACCAATACCTATAAAAACGAAACACTTGCCAGGTTTTAGGCGGGAAGAGAGGAGGGAGAGCGGGGCATGCGGAAGGGTGGGAGGGAGGTCGGGCTGCGGAGGAAAGCGGGAAGGGAAGGAAAAGGCCGGCAGGGAAGGAAGAGGGACGGTGGACAGAGGAGGGAGAGAGGGGGAATAGAACGGAGTAGCGGGGCAGGGACAGGACGGAGTGAGGGCAGTGGGAGGTCGGGTTTGGGAGGGAGAGGAGGGGACGGTCTGGGGGTCAAAGAACAGGAATACGGGGAAGAGGAAGGAAGGGTAGCGGGAAAGGGAGGGAACGGAGCTGCTTTGGGGAGAGTGGGAAATGCGGGAAAGAGAGAAAGAAGAGGAATACGGGGAGGAGGAAAGAGGGGCAGAGAGAGGGACAGGAGGGGGAGCCTCACAGAGCCCCGGCTCCACCCCGAGCCCGCCCCGGCGCCCCGCCCTGCCCGGCTCGGGGCTCTCCTGCTGCCGAGCCCCGCGGGCGGCCCGGCTGTCGCACGGAAATGCCCCACGCAACATTAGACAAAGCAGTTTCTATGTTAAACCCTTTCTATCCTAGAAGGAGATAACTTCTCTACCTCCTTCGTCTTCTCATTTTTCTTCTTTGATTTCAAAATCAGACTTACAAAAATTTACTCCTAAAAAAGACTTGGTAAGTAGTCAATAAAGTAGTCCTGTCAATTTCATAACCTAAAGGTATACTTATGTTTTCACAAAAAATAAACTACATGACAGTCCTACTCACTGTGTCAAACCTTATTTAAAATACTCACAAAAAAACCCCAAGATAAATAGTTCCACAACCAAAACAAAACAAGCACCACTAACTAAAACCATCCATCAAAACACATTGTGTTTATCAGTCACCAATCCTAAAAAAATCTCTAGGATGTCCGGGGAAGGGAATCCACATCAGGTACGAAGGAAGGCTGCCTCCCCTGCTGGCAATTTCCTGCAGTCACCGACCTGTGGCCCTTGCCCAGCTACAATCAAGAACACCAAACATCACTGCATGATCTTAGCTGCACAGCAGCCACAAACCCACGAGTCTGCTACTCACCATTCTCCTAAGAATGCCCGGATCCTCGGGCCGCTTCGGCCACGCCCTCGTGGCAGGGTCTGCCTGGGAAATGAGGAGACGAGGAGATGCGGCATTCCCGAAACTCAAGCGCACCCTGGCTCCCACTCACTGGTTCCCTAACATAAGGTCACCCGTCTCATGGATGATGGGAAGGCAATGCAGGTTCTATTTCAGGATTTTAAGTGGAGTTTTGATCCTGTCCCTCGCAGAATACATCTGGAGCAGGTGTCCAGGTGTGAGACAAAGAGAGACAGGGTGTGCTGGCTGAAGAATGGGCTGATGTACTGGTTTTCAATGGGATAGGATCCATTTTCTTCCCAGGGAGCGGCAAAGAGCTGGGTTTGGATTCAGGACGGGAATGTGGTAGACAGCACACAGATGGCTTGGATGTTACTGAGCAGGGCTTGCCCTCCTCAAGGAGTTGCAGTGTCACATTGGACAATCCATGTCCCATGCTCTGCCAGCAAGGAGGTGAGACCATCAGCATTCCCCTCCTCATCCCTGTGTCCTTCTGAAAGAAGAATCTTCCACCCACTCTGCTCCAGAGAGCTGGCAAGTGCCCATAGGGAGCCCCCTTACCCCTCCTGGGGCACTGCGGAGGGCGGGGCTGAGGCAGGGCTGTGATGGCACAAAGGGCAGAGCGCTGGCGTCAGGCAGGGCTGTGATGTCCCAGGGCTGTGCTGGCCGCAGCACTGTGACACCACTGTGACATCACCGCGCTGTCGCTGGGTGAGACAGGCCAGCGCCGGCAGCTGCCAGTGCAGTCGCGATGGGACGTGCTGGAGCCATGGGTGACGGTGACGTCCTGGTGACTGCGCTTGTCCTGCTGCTGGCCGCCGTGGCTGTCTGGTGGGCCTTTGGCCACCGGCAACCACGGAGCCGGAGCACACGGACAGCGAAGAGGAGCAAGCGCCCCGGGGTCCGGCCCAGAGGCTCATGGAGGAAGCGAGGAGCCCCTGCGGCTCCCAGGTTCCCCAGGCCTCGGGCTGCTCCTGGCGAGCAGCCACGTGCTCCCGCCAGCCCCCTGGGCAGCCCCTGCGGCTGCGGCCCCTGCCTGGCAGTGGCCCGGGAGCTGCAGGAACTGATGCTGCAGCTCTGGGATGGCAACGGGACACGTGCGCCCCTCTACTCTGGGATGTGGCAGGCCTTGTGGAAAGAGCTGAAGGAGCTGCTGGAGCGAGGCCACCTGCCCTGCTGTGCCTCGGCCAGCTCCTCCACAAGCCTCCATCCCTTCCAGAGGCTGCTCCCAGCGAGATTCTCCATCCCTGGGAGAGCCTCAAGGCCGGCAAGGATGGCACAGCAGGGGGGAGCCACCACCATCCATGCAGGAACCTCAGGCTGTCAGAGACCCTGCACCCTGCCAGCAGCCTCTGCTATCTCTGACAGCCTCCATCCCTCGCAGAGGCTCAGTGAGACCTGTCAGCCTGCGGAAGGAGCAGAGCCCGTGGACAGGTCTCCCAGCTCCCTTGGACTCACGGACGTCAACGACACGGGCGCAATCCTGACCCTTTACGTGTCAGGCGAAAGCCCACAAGTCCAAATGGGAGCCCAGCCCGATGCGGGGGAGCCTGCTCAGGAGCAGCTGACGGGGCAGCAAGAGTCCTGGAGCCAGCTGTGGTCATCCCACAGCGGCCAGGACAGCCAGGACGCTGTGCCGGTTCTGCCAGCTGGCAACAGCCCGAGCCTGGTGGTGGAGACGAGCCTTCAGAGGTTCCTCCATCTGCAGGAAGCTGCCCCGAGACAGCCCTCGAGTGCCGCGAAGGGCTTTCTAGTAGCAGGTGAGATCTTCTGAGGAGCTGCCTGAGGCTCCGCCGGGGCTCTGGAGGGGCGCGGCCAGGCCAGGCCAGGGCCCCTGAGAGCAGCCCAGTCGCTGGCTGTTTCCAGTGCCTCCGATGGCCCGGCTTGAAAACGCCCTGTCTGCTTTGCAGCCGCTCCTGGGTCTCCCCCGTGCCAAGCCTCGGGCTGCAGCCCCGGCCGTCGGCAGGAGCAGAGCCCAGCCCACGACGCCGGGGACAGCGCCGGTGCCGCCCTGCCCCGCTGGCCCGGGGCTGCCGCAGCCGCCTGTGCGCGCTGCCCCGGCCCGGCTCTGCCGCTCGCCAGCCCGGCGGCTGCAGGGCGGTGGCCGCTGCCCGGCGCGCAGCAGGAAGCGGGTGAGAGCGCGGCGGCCCGCGGGGCCCGGCCCGCTCCACTCGCGGGCACTTGCGGGAGGGGCGGGTCCTGGGCGCAAGGCTGATGGCTCGCTCTTGGCCGCAGGGCAAAGGAGGCAGCGGCAGGAGCGGTACCTGCTGGGCCCGCAGCTGGGCAGCGGCGGCTTCAGCACCGTCTTCTCGGGCATCCGCCTCTCGGACGGCAGCCCGGTGAGTGGCCGCGACGGCCGGGCCTGGGCGGAGGGGCAGCGGCGGGGAGGGGCAGGGCTGGAGCTCAGCCCTCCTCTCCCCATGGCTCGCAGGTGGCCATCAAACGCGTGGCCCGGGAGAGCGTCCTGCAGTGGGACGAGCTGGTGAGCGAGCGGGGCCAGCGGGACAGAGCGGGGCGTGGCGGGCAGGGAGAATCCCGGGGCGGGCTCAGCGTGCGGAGCCGCAGCCCCGCGGGCCTGGGCACGCCGAACAGCGGTGCCGGGGCCGGGCAGGGGCAGCCCCGAGCATCCCCCGGGCGGGAGGAAGCGCAAGCGCCTGGGAGGCTGCGGCAGGGGGCACTGGGGCATCCCGGGCAGGGCGCAGCGCAGCCCCAGGCCTGCAGCAGCAGCAGCAGCAGCACCTGCCGCAGGGACTCATTTTCTCCTCCTCACAGCCCGACGGCACCCGCGTGCCCTTGGAGGTGGTGCTGATGGAGAAGGTGGGCTCTGGCTGCCAGAACATCATCCAGCTGCTCGACTGGTTTGAGCTGCCGGATAGCTTCATCCTGGTGCTGGAGCGTCCGCGGGCATCACGGGATCTCCTGGAGTTCCTGCAGGAGCAGGACCAGGGGTTCCTGTGCGAGGAGCAGGCGCGCTGGCTTTTCTGCCAGGTGCTGGAGGCCGTGCGGCACTGCACCGCCTGCGGCGTCCTGCACCGGGACATCAAGCTGGAGAACCTCCTCGTGGACCCGGAGAGCGGCGACCTGAAGCTCATCGACTTCGGTTGCGGCACCTTCCTCCAGGAGCGGGCCTTCACGGACTTTGCCGGTGAGCCCATGGCCTGGGCTGCTCCCGGCCCCTGGGCTCAGCGGGCCCACAAGGGTCTGGGCTGCTCCGCTGGCCTTCTTGGCCTTGCGGAATGGTTTCCTGCTTTTGGCCAGCTGGCTGGGGGATGCGGGGTGGCCTCGGGGGGGAAGCTGTGGCCGCGGGCGCAGCCCCTGCCTCGGTCAGGAGGCTGGTGCCAGGCTCTGGAAGGCAGCAGCCTGCGCCCGGCCAGCGCCGCCTGTCTCCCCTAGGAACGCGCGTGTACAGCCCGCCCGAGTGGACCTGGCTGGGTTGCTACCACGGCCACGCGGCCACCATCTGGTCCCTGGGCGTGCTGCTGTACGTCATGGTCTGCGGCAGCCTCCCCTTTCAGGACGACCAAGCCATCGTGCTGGGGAAGCTCTTCTTCCGGCGGCAGCTCTCTCCAGGTGGGTGTCCGGCCTCAAGCCGGCGGGCTTTGGCAGTGGCGGCGCACGCCCGGCGCGGCCCTCACGCAGCTCCGCGGGACGTGGATCTGCCCTCACGGGCCGGCCGCAGGAGGGGCCCGTGCCGACGGGGTCAGCGCGGCACGGGCGGCCGGAGGAGGCGGCCGCGTCCCGCCGTGCCGCTCTCCCGCGCGGGGCTGAGCCGGTCGGGAGCCCGGCACGGCCCAGAGCGCTCGCGGCACGGCCCGGGCCCCGCGGGTGACGGGGGCAGCTGGGCAGGAGACTTCTGGCGGTGACCGGCGCTTTCTGGCTTCTCTCCCCAGAGCTCCAGCACCTGATCCGATGGTGTTTGGCCAAGCACCCTGCGGACAGGCCGGAGCTGGAGGAGATCTCGCGCCACCATTGGGTGTGGGGCCGGCGTTTTTGATGCCTTGCCGGAGCCTCTGCAGCACCCACTTACCGAGTCCCACGCAGGACTGAGGACCTGGAAAATAAAACAGCAAACCCATTTTGGTGTGTCAAGGCTGGTCCTTGTCAGCAACTTCAGCTAAAGAAACGTCTTGGGAAAAGGGGGAATCAGAGTGCTGCCTTCAGCCTTTGGCAAGCTTTCCATGCCTGTCCTCCAGAGTGGTACTTTATATCTTCAAGCTCAGGCCGTAGTGCGGGTCGGAGGGGCTTTGTCGAGCCAAGAAATGCAGCAGTGAAACAACAGCTGCCCTTTCAAAGTGGCAGGGCTTCTTGGTGTCTCTTGAAGTGACACACAGGTCCATTGTGCATTCCAAGGGTCCGTGGCTTTCAGGGACAGAGACCTTCCTCTCTTACCAGAGCTCTGAGGAGAGCCGTAAGCTACAAAATATCATTTCAGGTTGAGCCCTGCTGAACTCTTTTTCTTTCTTCCTATGAAATGGGAGGCAGAGCTGGGCACTTGAGCAGCTTGGTCTGCACCATCCTAAGTCATGTGCATGGAGCCCACAGGAAATGTTGAGATGCCGGAGTCATTCCCATGGTGCTGGTCTCATTTTACCCCCCAAAAGTATCTTCTGCTGCCTTAAAAACAACCAATGGTAATGGAAAGTGCAGTAACCAGTCACAGGAAAGCACCCAGCTGCCTGCCTGTGGGCAGGTGCCATCTACTAAACCTGTGCCACCTTCTGCCTACTGCCCTGACCTCCCAAAACAGGGTTTGGGAAATAAATGTGGGTTTTTTTTTTCAGAAATGTGCTTGATCTTTCAGTTTTCTTCCCTTTTATGCAGGCTGCTGAAGCTCTTGTGCCCTGAATGGCTCTCCCAGTCCCTACCTGAAGACCTGACCTGAGCCGTGATCCTTCCAGCCAGTACCCCACTGTGATGTGATGGTGAGAGTGTGTCAGCCATGGTCTGCAGCCTGAGCTGGGAGTGGTAATTATCCCTTTTCCAATGACCTGTGAGTGGTGACTGCCAATTGTCCAAGGGCCAGGACACATTTCCTCCAGGAGCTGGAGGTCCCTGTGTCCCCACAGCCCCGGGATGTTTGTGACCGCAGGCCCAGAGCCATTGAGTCCTCTGTACAAGGACTAATTGCAAGCTGTAACGTGAAATTTTTATTATGAGTCATTTGTTCCTTTAGCTTTGTTATCTTTAGAATAATGTTTTTCTATTTTATTGTGTTATTATATTGTGGTATAGCCTTATTGTGTTGTTGTTACACAGATATTACATTTCCAAAGGTGCGGTAGTGGATCAGCTGGGTGGGGATTTGAATTCTACACCCCTGCACTGGGCCATCAGGTAGTGCTGCTTGCAACCCCTAACTGCAAATCTGTAGGTCTCAGATTCAGTCAAAGAGAGAAACGGAGAGTTTCTAGCCAGGCAGAAGTCTAGGAAAGAGTTGGAGAAAAATGTAAATAATTCTTTATCGCTCTTGTTGTTCACATTATTTATAGTTAAGTTCTATCACTGTGCATCAAGCACTCTGCACCAATGGTGTAGGCTGCTTTCACTTCAGGACCAATGGAATTGTTCCTCACGAAGCTCTGTATAAAAGAGTGGTGTATTTTAAATAAACTGGAGTTTTACTCTCAGCAGCCTTCTGAGTCAGTCTTCTCATTCCCGTCCTGCCTCAACAGTGACACCAAGGGAACCCTACAAACTGACATCAGGAACCTGGACTGGTGAGTTTTCTTTCCCAGGGAAAAGGGCTGG